TCCATTGTAGCATTTTTGTCCACCATGACAGCATCTTCGTTTTACTTGACCAATCACAGAGAAGCAAAACGAAGATGCTGTTATGGCGGACCAAAATGTTACAATTCCAAATAAGTTTCCTTTTCTATTTTAACGGTAGGTGTCGCATTGGTATTACTTTTTACATTCTATAGATTCTTGTTCAATCTATGAAAAAAAAAAAAATTGAAATTATTGTTATTTTTAAACAAATAAATTTAAAATATAGAGAATTTTTATGATAAACGTAAGAAGAATATTTTATGATATGTTTCTTTTTTTTACTCGACCGTTCAAAAATTATGCATGTTGAATGAAGAGCTTATATATTGTCAAGCCAAAAAATGTATCATTGTGGAATGACATAGAGTGACATTTAAATCAGCGCCGTATATCGGATTTATTTCGCTTAGCAAAGGGGGAAACGTCGTACTCGCTCCTTTAAAAAACATTCAAATTGGCAGAAAGCCGAAAAACTTTAGTTGAGATCTTTGAACATGGATCCAACATAGCGTCCACCATCAACGAAACCGCGGTGTTCGTAAAGAGATCTAGCTCGCTGGTTATCTTCCGAAACAAACAAAGTGAGTCTCATGATGTTATTTTCGATGGCGTATAGTTCGAGCAAGTGAATCAGCTTTGTTCCAATGCCTCGAATGTCGGCCTATAATTTTGCCACAGCCCATATTAGAATATATTTTGAATGGGAATATTGTTTTGCAAATGATTTTAACCATTTGGGTGTATTCTGTACTATCCAGGTCAAAACCAACTCCAACATTTGTCAAATTTTCATATCTTCGAATGGTAGCATTTTGTCGATGGCACTTAATTCTTTAAGATGGCAAGGTGGAGTTTATATATTTAAATTATAATTTCTTAAAAATATAGAAAATTACCTTGAAAAGCTGGATCACCATCGTCAGTGTGATCATTTGGAAATAAGTTATCATTCCCTTCTTCTGCCGGCGATTCAACATATCATCAGTCCATACTGACAGTAAAAAGAGCGGAATTTTTGCAACGTTTTGAATGTCCAAATGTATATTAAGTTTTTATTCACAGTACACAGAAAAATTATCTATCATTTATTTTCGTCACAAAAATACATAAAAAATGCGTTCATTTTTAGTGGGTAGACACAAACTAGAAAACTTGAAAATAATCAGAAAAATTGCAACAATGGTGCTCTCTCACACAAACATACGCAGTAATTACAAAACGTCCTGATCAACGTAAAGCAAATTTACTGTATTAAGTGTCTAAACTGAAGTAAAAGTTAATTTAAAAACTAAATATATACAGACTTAAGTCAAAGAAAAAGTTTCAATAAAAATGATGTTGCAGATGCAACAACATATATTTTAAGATTTTAGTTTTTAGATTTTATTTAGATTTTAAGTAGGGTTTGTTTTTGAATGTGCCGCCATTCGCTCTGATCGCTCTTTCGCTCTCTCATGTGGTAACCCGAGCGAGTGCATCGTTTCCCACCAAAAGATGCTCTCGCTCGGCACTCTGCGTGCCTATAAAAGGCACTCTGCGTGCGCACGCAAACGGTCTATTTGATGTTGACCACGAGCGAATACCCTACGGGAAAGCAAAAGAATCGACTAGAACGAAAGCAAGGCAAACGCGATTAGTTCGAAAGCATCAACATTTTTGTCACAAAAAAAGTAAGAAATTATAAAATAGTAATAGTAACTAATAGAGCAGATTAGTTTTGGCTTTTGTGATAAGTATGCGTCCATTGTATCGCGCTGTTGGTCATTTGTCTTTTGTACCAGAGTATCCTGATTTGCTGCTGCTCAGCATATAGCTGAGAGCTGAGAAATGCTGAGCTCGTGCGGCTAACGCATACGAAACGGATGCACGATACATATTCCCCTTTCGCTTCGTATGTGCTGCCGTTGACGCTATTGCCGGTACAACGGTTACACACTATACCAGCGAACATACGAAGTGAAAGGGGAATATGTATCGTGCATCCGTTTCGTATGCGTTAGACACACGAGTTCAGCATTTCTCAGCTCTCAGCTTTATGCTGAGCAGCAGCAAATCAAGATGCTCTGTTTTGTACACACCGTTAACTGTTGTGGCCATGAAAAGCAGTGGTATTTCCTCCAGTTGCAGCGTTTTCTACGACCTTGTTGCAGCGTAGACAATAGTACAAATTCTCGATAGCCTTCTGCGTATCCGAATCGATGACCAAATGAAACTATTTCCATATAACAGCTTTCCATATAACAGCTAAATTCCTCTCTTTTCCCTTCTTTTTCTCACAATGTTGAAATGTTCCATCATTCATCAACCAAATCCAAATAAATTTATCGGAAATAATGAAATACATATCCATAGGCCGGATCGATTCATGAAATGTTGAAAATTCAAAATGCGACATCTTGGTATCGATTTGTCTTGTCAAAACAAGCACTTTTTGTTCTGAGGGCATCCGGGAAAATTCGCTCCTGTTTACCGCGAGCTGAATTCCCAAATTACGATTTTTTAGAAAATATTGACTTGAATCGACAAAAAAATGGATTTCAATTGACTGCAAACGCTTTTTTTGGCATTTATTGGCCCGAGAAAAACGAATCTGGCGGTATTTTTGCGATTTAATGTCATTTGGTGTGTCAAAAGTGATTTTTTTTGTACATAAAATGCCTCCAAAACGCAAAAATAAGGCCATTTTTGGAATCAGCGTGCAAAAATACATTAAAAATAGTTTTTTTTATAATTCAGTGTGTGAATTTTTCGGAATTTTTATTGGGCCCCTTTATGACAAAAATTTGATTTTGCGAAGGATCGCTCACAGCAATGAAACGACAACAACAATAACACATATTTTTACTGTCAAAATTTTGAAGTCAAATGGTGTCGACATTGGTGACGGTATTTTGAAACAGACTGTGTAATCCATATTCATCGTATATGATCCTATGTAAAGTTCTATACTTGATCTAGTTCACATTGACGGTTCAAATCGTTTATGTCCTCTAGCGTGGAAGTGGTTTTACAGTGATCTGAAATTATTTGAAGGTAGAAAAATGGGTCGGTATTAAGACATGTTTTCAACTCGACATATTTTGAATGACTAAAAGAAATGTTTCCAAATCAAAGCGTATGGCCTCTGTTCGTCGCCAAATCATGAAATACACTAAAAACAGTTAATTTGGAGGCTAAATATTGCATATAAGCCGAAGCTGAACGTTAAAATGACACACAACAACTAAACGAAAATATTGACTTGAATAGACAAAAAAAAACGGCACTCCGCGAAAAAAGGATAGAGCATGTGGATTTTTGAATTCTTTCACTCTTGCGTGTTCAAATTTTTCGATTCGTTGTACGCAAAGCATTACTCAAGTTTCTATCTTCTATGTGCATAGTATTTGAGCCATGATTTTTCTCAGCCATTCAATTGTAATGTTAGATTTTTAGCATCACAGTAATATCTGGTAATATCTAATACAGGCAAGAAAAGTTAATGTAATGGTTAATAACATTACAATTTTAATGCCGGTAAATCTGTACCGAGGAAATGTGGCGTTAAAAGCTAAATTTGAAAATAGCAAGCGTTCTATATGTTCTTTGTACGCCGTATAATATTCAAATAATTACCGCATATCTTACCGTTGCAACGAAAGGATTTATTTCAATTCAATGTCAATCGATTTTTGAAAATTCATGTTTTCGATGGCAACGTATCAGAAAAAGACTTTTATTTAAACAATCATTTATTCCATACATTTTATTTCTTTAGGTCTTTAATTAAGGTTTCCTTATAATATGTTTAAGAAACCTTTAAATAATAAAACATGTTTTGTTTCAAAACAGTGATGTTGGCTTTGACGTTTTTTTAGGTTTACTGTTAAAATATTGCGATTTCATAAGGAAACCTTACAAATTAATTTTTTAATAGCAATACTAAAATAATTTGTTGGGTTTGTCTCTTGTGTGCCTTCGAATCGTTTTCGGATTGCTTGTGACACACATAACTCAAGCAAGGCATCAGCTATCAACTTGAAATTTAATTTTCGGACTACTGATCCCCAATCCACAAAACAACAACAAAATTATTTTTCTTTTTGGAAAATTCGTCCCGGAAAATTACTTTCCTTGAAAATTCGGTTTTTCCTAAGAATTTGTATGGGAATCTGAAAACAAATTGATTTACATGCTTTTTTACGGATGTGTCTGTAAACAGAAGCGGCCAATATATAACATCTTATGTAAATTAAAATATACGCAGTGAATTACCTATCCAATGAACGTTTTATATTTCCAGTTTTTGCTTCCAATAGCAACTATGTATCCATTTTGGCAGAAATATCGGGTTAACATATAATTTGAACCCTTTTTTTCGTTTGTTTCCATTTTTATAAAATATTTTATTTCGTTTTATTCAAATTTACATATTTCTTAACAATTATTACCAAATTTATTGGCATACCCAATGTCTGTATCTAAATAAATTTATTTCAAAAGATTTTTAAATAGCAAAGTATTGTTTGTCATACATGTAAAAGCACCAGTACCACTTTTACATGGTTGACCAATCATCAATCGACTTGATGGTGAATTTAAACTATCTAACTGACTCTTAACGATGGCCGATTTCAAGAACTTAAGCGTAGATTCGAAGGACATTTGTTGCAGCGGCGATGCTGACGATTCGATGCCTGATCTACTGAGCGGTTTGAATGTTCCATCAAAAGTCATATAATCAGCGATGAGTAATAAATGCCGGGGATCGACTGTAATACCATAAACCTGGAACACTTGTTGTACTTCCTATAATAATGACAAAAAAAAAAAGAAACAAACAATTGAAATAATGCATTCAACTCGGTAAAGAAATTTAGGTGCACACCTTAACAACAACTCTAGCAGCGGCTTCGATACCATATGTTTGAGCCATAGCATGGATTTGATTCGTATAAAGTCGATCCAAGTCGAGTACCTCTCGGTGTTTGAACATTTCCTATTTAAATACAAAACCAATCATTAATTTTCAACATTTTATTCCAATAAAAGTTAAATGCTAAGAAAAATGATACCCTTACCGTAATGTTAATACCATCAGTTTTCAGGAAAATGTCCTCATTCTTATTGTACGTGATTGCTCGTTTGATATGTGGCACTTCGGCTATAACTGACTTGTGTGCAATATCTTTCAAAACGATAGAAAGATCGACATTTTTGTGTGTCATATTCAGTTGGAAAGTGATTTCACACCATAAATGTGTATGCTTATCAACGCGATATCTCGTATTATATTCGCTTGCTTCGTTTCCAAGTTTTTCCACTTCGTCTTCATCCACATCCGCGATATTTTCTGGTTCCATCATTTCAACATCAGATTCATTATCGGATGCAATTTTTTCACCTTCTTCAATGGCCGCTTCATCATAATCACATTCGTCCATAGCTTTACTCTTAAGTTTAACAGCTGTAGCATCATCCTCGTCGCCAATGGCTTCATCGTCAGAACTATCATTACCACCAGCTCTAGTCGTATCTTTTTCTGGTTCTCGTTCATCGATTTCACGATCTTCGCACTGTTCAGCTATTTTCTTTTTCTTCTCTTCGGCACCAATATCAACCGATGAATATTTTTCACTCGCCGCCTTTGCAAAGGCCTTGAACATTAGCCTAAAGAACTGTTCACGCATGTGTCGAAGAATTTTCTTTGGTCGAATGACAAAATCTTGTTGATAAGCGTCCGCTTGCAAGAAATTAAAACGAACACAACATTCTCGAGCTCGATATGGACGTAGAACAAGATGTGATTGAACATTTATCGATTCCAAAACATCGGCCACAGTAACTCTGGCCATTTTCTTGCGCAGTGTTTCAGCACTTTGATCCATATTTTTATGCTTTTTAAATGGTATATCGAGCGACGGTGTTTTTATATTTTCCGTAGCAAACATTAAAATTTCTCTGAGACGTGGAATACCCAGCGTCACGTTCATTTCACCTCTACCAGCAAAGTGAAAAGTGTTCAATGTCATCTGGGTTGATGGTTCACCGATTGATTGTGCGGCCAACAGACCAACTGGTTCACCGGGTGCCACTAGTGATTTCATCGTTTTTACCGCAATTACATTTTCAAATGATTCTTTGTCAATGTTCAAATTCTTCATGTAGCCGACCATTAAGTTTTCCACGTGTTCGGGTAGAGAGCCGAAATTACAATCTGGTTGGTATTTACTTGAGACAGGATCGGGACGCGGTACACATTTCTTCGAATATTTTGCTTTTTGCTCATCGTCTGCTTCACTCCAAAGTTTTACAATTTGGTCGTCAAGATTTCGACGATGTGTCTTCTCGTTTATTGCATTCGGATCTTTCATTGTGATGTCCGACACGATTTCACGGGAGAATCTCTGGAAACTGGTCTCACGTCGTTTATCATCATTTGCGTGCTTTTTCATCCATGATCGAACCTTTTTCTTGTGTTTTATAACACTGTCGTAATTTTCGAAATCTTTTAATTCGTCCAAGAATTCTTTATTTGGAATTATACTTTTAACGTTGTCAAACAAGAATGGAAATTGCTTGGTTTTCAAAAATTGCGATTTCGAAACATCCATACCATCTTCACCGTACATAAATTGAACCACTGAACTATCACTATCACGAACTGTCATATCATAGTGCACATTCAATCCTTCCAAATGTTTGATCAGACAACGTTGCAAATAACCAGAACGACTTGTTTTTACAGCTGTATCAATTAAACCCTGATGAAATCAAATGGTTTATATGATTAGTAAAATGATTTAGAAGCCACATTATGAAGAATAGTAACTTACTTCACGACCAGCCATACAATGGAAGAAGAAATCTTGCGGTTGAATGCCAGTCATAAATCGGCCATCAATGAAGCCACCTGCTTTTGGGCACATTTCAAATGTCGGGAAACATGGTAACGTACGCCCTGATATCATCATTGGCGGCCGTTTGCCTTCCAATTCAATTTGGCCGAGCAAACATGAAATTTGCATTGTATTCACCGTTGATCCTTTGGCGCCGGAACCAACCATCAATTGTAAATTATTTTCTGGGAACTTACACAGTAAACCAGCGGGAAGACAAATTCTATGATAATTTTCAAGAGAAAAACAGTTTTTTAGAAACATAATTATCAGTTGGATTTGCATGTCAGAAGAGGCAAGCGACTTACTTATTAATCCGATTTGTATAACTATCCAATGCAGATTTATAGGCACGATCCAAGAGTGTTCTAAATTTCGGATCACGATTAATCGCTTCAGACATTTTTTCGGCCAAAATTTCAAATGGTGTATCTAACGGCAATTCTAAGGCAGTTGCTACAGCTTTTGGTCCAAGCTGAAATTTACAGAAAAATATATACATTTCAATCCACTTTCTTGGTATACTATCAGTACTTTTAAATACTAAATGTGTAAATACTACCTTTCGAGTTTTCTTGATAATTTTTCGTCTATTCTTGTCGGCATGTGGCAACACCAAAATATCATGAACACCGAGCGTGAAACCTTCTCGCTGCAGGTTGATGGTAAAGACCTTTGAAAATGATGAAAGTAATTGCGTTGAACACTCTCCGCCGTACAATTCGTACATGCAGTGAATTAAACCATAAGGTGTAGCGCCGTAATGAGTTTTATCCAAAACACCGACACACAATTCACCTCCCCGAATGATAACTTCACTCTCAGTCATATTATTTTCGGTCAACGGTGTACCTCCGGCTAACCATAGGCGTTCTTCTTGCGTTTGCCAAGATTTTACACTCGTTTTGGCGGTCGATTTTAAATTGATTTTATGCTGTCCGACCGGTATGATATTCATTAAAATAGTTGATAAAATTTGTTTGCCCGACCACAGTCTAATGGGTTTTATGATTGTTGGCGGCAAAAATTTGATGTCTTTTGAAATGTGTGCCAATGCGACAAACACCAATTGCTGATAGTCTTCTCTATTGAAGAATCGTCCTCTCATCGACATTTTCACACCAGAAATAACATGATCTTGAATCAAACCACCCAACGGTGTACCATCCTTTGCTACTAAATATTGATTTGGCACATTTATCAAATTATAGGCTTCACTACGGCCCAATTCATTTTGTGGCACATGAGCATTCATTTCATCACCATCAAAATCAGCGTTATACGATTTACAATTCGAATAATGAAGACGGAACGTTTTTTCTCCTTTCAGAATGCGCACTTTGTGTGCCATTATACTGTTTTTGTGCAACGTTGGCTGACGATTCAACAGCATTACGTCGTTGTTCAACAAATGACGGTGAACAATTTTAACACCTTTTTCTGTTGGTGTCAACAACATTTTGGCGAGCGATTCACGTTTGGCCGCATCGACTCCAGATACGATTTGAATTCGACCTTGTTCATCTTCAACGAAATTAGCACTGCAAAAAAAATCGTTTTTAATTCTTTATGCACATTTTTTCATAGAAAAATTGTATACTCACCCCGGATGAACATTTGGCCCATTAGTAACCATTTTTCGTAGTTCAGCCACATTCCATGAAGTGACAGGCACTGGATAGGATAATTTTCGTGCAAACACCTCGGGCAAACCGATTTCATCGACATTAATGAATGGATCTGGCGTGATAACCGTACGCGCTGCATAATTGACACGTTTTCCCATCATATGCAATCGAATGATTCCTGTTTTCTTTTCAAGAACTTGTTTCAAACCTTGAACGCCGTGCGTGTTTTGTCCGAGTGCACTGTCCCATGTTTGATCGACGCATGTTTGTAATTTTTGCCATGCATGGTACATTTTTTCGTACGATGTATCACCAGTGGCGCTATCATACAATGCTTGCGTTTCGTTCGCTTGAGCCTCGGCCACTTTTCCATTTATCTTTGCACAAATGGTTTTCAATAGACTGTTCGATTCGACAATGTTCTTTAAAATGGTCGTTTGTGGATGTTCACGGATCTCATTTTGAAATTTATTTGCTGGTCGAACAATTGGCGATGGAACTGGAATTACATCCATGAAGAAAATATCCGTTGCAATTTCAACATCTTCCGGTGCATGCATTAAAACTGGAAACAGTAATTTCAACATTTCCTCGTGTAAATCGTACACTTTGCGCAAGTATTCACGGCATTCATCGGCCAACAATGCTTTGTTCACTGTTTTTGAACGGCCGTAACTGTCATTCCTAATGGAAAACAAAAATAAAATAAAAAATCAATTTAAAATTCATTTTCGGTAGTTTGATATCACAACAATTCACTTACAAGTCCGAGCTCATTTCTGATTTTGAAGCGGTTACCTAAGGGGAGAATCACAAAAGAAAAGAATAAAATTTAAAATAATCGATAAGTATCTCACTCACTCATCCACACACACACACACACTCTTTTTATTACACATAGATTCAATTTCTATCACCTTCATTTGACAATCTCATACGTAATACATATATTACAATTAATGTATGAATGTGAATGACGATAATCGAAACTAATCGAAAAATAATCGTAAAACAATAAATAAAATAAAGCGGTTACCATTAGCTTTTTGAATGAATATTTCACTTTTTTCAATGCCTCTTTACAGTGTATGCATCGTTTATTTGGATTACTTTTGATGGAACTGCTAACAATTGATGCTCGTAATGATTCCGAATTTTTTGTATTCTCAACAACATCGCATGATTGTAAACCGAAATCCAATAAACGTTTCATTTCTTCTAATTTTGAGTCTCGTGCTGGTTTTGAATATTCACTCACCGTTTCCGATTTGTAAATTTCAATGTCTTGAGCTTCGGTTATATAGCCGGCGTCTAGTAATTTTAATTGCAATACCAAAATTTCCATAACTCTTTCGGAGATTTGCATTTGAAAGCAGCTGAAGCATGTAATTCGTAAAATGTCGTAGACACTTTTTATGAAAATTGGATTATACACAAGCATTGACAATTCGATGTGACCCATATGGCCATTACAGTCTAGCGTTTTGTAACACGTACTGCACGGATCCGAGTTGATGGAAAATGGACCTGAACAATGCAAATATGATATGTGTTTTATTGATAAGAGTTCACATGTTCAAGTTTATGTGAATGTCATCTTACCCATTTTTGAATCATATAAACCACCCGGCAATGCATGACCCAATGGATCAAAGAGCAACGGTGTAACTATCTTGGCCACGCTCAACGCACGAATGTTATTCGGACTAAATACCGAAAATCGCAAATTGTTCGCCTCCAAATGATGCAGTTTCTTCATGGTTGAGGTTAAGTTCCTTCTATTTTCGACGATAAATAAATGATTTTTTACACTTTTTTCTACAAAAATTCATCAAATTGAAATTGTTCACGCGATTGAAAAGTACTTATGCAGAACTCTAATTTTTATTTATTGTTTTTTTTTTTTTAAATTCGTTTGACATGTGTTCAGAGCACACAACCGGTGTGTTCCCAAAAATCAAATACAATGTGCGATTTCATTTGACAGACATCACTGTCACATTTTACCTCAAAAGTGCTTGAATGTCAAAAACTGCTATAAACTTCGAGTGTTTTTCCTAACCAAAGAATTTCTCCATATTGCCGCTTATGTTTATTGCTCCAACTGAAAACAAATGCATTTTTCCAAATATAATTTAAGGCCTTTTGAGGTGAACTAACCTCGTGTTGATTAAAAAACCTTTTTATGTATAAAAATCATTGATGGATTTATTAATGTTTATTTTGGAACTGAAAATATTGATTTTTTACTTTTTATTCTTATTCTTATATCTATTGTTAATACACCATATAGCATCTGCATTTTATGTTTGTTTAAGAGATGTTGGCTTATCCAATGGACATTTTTTTTGTAAAAGAAAGCGTTGATCAAATTTAGTCGCCTCCTTCCTTCTTCTCTTTGAGTGCTTCCTTGAAACGTTCTTCGAACAGCGACAGTTCGGAAATGATATCGGTAATGGCATTCATGAAAGCTTCTTGTGGTGAGTAATCGGACGTTGTCTGGATGCGAAGCACAAATTTATGTTCCAATGGATGCGGGTTTTTGTAGCCGGCAAACAAAACATGTGGATCTTTCAACAATTGATTGCGAATCATGTTGCCCAATGTGTGGTCCTCTTTGTTTACGGTGAAAATTGCGGCATTTGGTACTTTTGTATCGAGCTCCTTGACGATTTTCTTCTCTCCCTCATGCAATAAAAACGATTCAAAGGTTGGTGGCGCATTCATTTTGCGATTTTCACGTGAATATTCACTTTTTTACACAAAAATACGTTCAAATTTTCGGAATTTCGTTCGGATATGTTTATTGCGTGCGACCAAAACTCGTTGTGTACACTGACGCGAAATAACTTGTCAATATAGTTTGAATGAAGGTCGTTTGGTGTCGCTGACATATAATTTACGCGCCGAGATTTAGAACGTCATTGTCAAACAACTTACACGCTATTTCAACATTGTTGAATTCAGGCCGCATTCAAAATTCGAGCAGAGAATAAACAAATGTGGAAGTTTACTTAAAGAAATTCGCGAATTGATTGTTTTGATCAAGATGCCGGACGCAAAAATCAAAAGTGTTGCACTTTGCAGTAGCGAAGATAAGGTAAAATACTTTTAATTTTTTTTACATGAAAAAACTATCATAAATTTGAATGATGAAACTGTTTTTTTTTTCGTGTGTGGGTTAGAATTATCCGGCCACAAATCTGGTGAATAGTCAAAAGAAAAAATGGAAATGTGAAGAGATTGGATGTGAAAAGGCGTTTGTTGTTCTACAATTGGAGAAACCGACAAAAATCAGTGGCATTGATGTTGGCAACGAACATACAGCTATCTTTGATGTGTCAGTAGGTAGAGTGGGTTGGTCGTATGACAAATACAAGGTCAATACAATAATCAAATGAAAACCGATTTCATATTATCGAAGTAATCAATTTAATTTTGTTTAGACAATTTTGATGTCATCATCGCTTATGTCCGTAACGGATAGTCGTGCATCTGAAAATCCTAATCGCGTTCGTTGTTTTGGAAAAGACGCTCTCGAGCAGGATGTTGTCAACGAAACATGGGAATTCGTGAAATTTAATTGCCAACAACCTTTCAACAAACAAGTTCAATTCGGATTATCGTTTATTGTGATCCATACACCAGACGCAACTTCATCAGAATGTGCATCAATGGGCAATACAACGGAAACAGCAAGTCCAAAGAAGAAGAAGAATTGTGACGAAACTTTAAACTTGCCAAAAACAAGCGTTTTCGCACAATTCACGATGCGAGATGACTCATCCGATTCATCAGATAAGGAAGCGAGTTCATTGTTTTCAAAATGGAAGGAAGAAAAAAATTCACCGGCCAAAGACATAAACAACGGCAAACAAAGCGGTAAGTTTATCAAAATACAAGTCATTATATTTACACAAACCAACTCTTGGTTGAGTATTGCAAACAATGGTATACAATATTCCATATTATTTATGCACAGCGGCAGCAGCGATAAGAGATGCATCGTCATCAAATTCAAAATTGGAACAATGTACGAAAATCAATCACAAAATCGAAACACCAACGGGAAAAGCAAAGCGTTCAATTGATTTGGGTGAAACAGGTGCGAAAAGAGAGCGTATTAATCGAAATCGTCCAGCGATTATGTATGATGATGAAGATGAGAACACATCAAAGCCTAAATTCGAAAAACTCATCAACGATGACAAAGAACGAATTGAACGCGAGCGCAAGAAAGAGGAGAACAAGAAAGGCAAAAAAGACATTTTACGCGATGATAAAAGCAAAAAGAAAATGGAACAATCGGCCGACAAGTTCAAAACATTTTTGCAAACAGATATGGAAGACAAGGCATCGCATTCATCGAAGACAAGTAGCACACACGTTGCTGCAAAAGATGAATATAACATCGAAGATGATGACGACGACGATGATGTGCTTGTAGTGAAGCAAAAATCACCGGAAAAGTTTGATATTACTGCCGACAAAACCGACGACGAAGAAGGAAGTGAAAAAAAAGAATCGCCCGCAAAATTGACACCGGTAAACCCACAGGCATCAAGTTCAAAATCTCCACCACCTTGGGCATTGAAAAAGAAGCGACCGTCAACATCAAATGATACAAGTGCTAGTAAACGTAGCCGAAACTCTGAATCCGATGATGAAACGGGTGGACTTTTACGTGGCGTGGTATTCGTCATCAGTGGCATTCAGGTAAAATAACCATTTGATTGCATTTGTATATTTTTCGTTAAACAATTCGCGATTTTTGCGCTATAGAATCCACACCGTGGTGAGATGCGAGAAAAAGGTGTCGAAATGGGAGCGAAATATCAACCTGATTGGAATAAATCGTGTACACATTTAATGTAAGATTTTTCTCCATCATTATCTTGAGTTTGAAAATTAAAACAATATTTTGTATTTTCGCAACAGATGTGCATTCAAAAATACGCCAAAATACAAACAAGTGAAAGGGTCGGGTATCATTGTGAACAAAGATTGGATCGATGACTGTTACGCACAGAAGAAGAAGTTGCCATGGCAAGATTATCAACTCTGAGTACTCGATGTTTTTATTTTTATTTTTTATTCATATAGAAAATGTGATTTTTCTTGAACGAATCATAATCATAAACATGCTTTATAAGAAAGGGTTAAATAAAATCCCATACTGTTTTTTAGTATTATTTGTCACAAAGTTTCGTATCATATTTTATTCAGACCGACTCAATACAAATTAAAATGTTCATTGATTTGACTTTCTTTTTCTCTTGAGCGTTTGAGTTATAAAAGTGACAATGAAAAGAAAGAAAATCTTCACTCAAAACGAAAAAAAGTTGTGTTTTTTTGTAATTTACAGCTCATACGAATAAAGTTAGATATAATTTATAATAATATGTTAATCGTAATATTTACAATGTAAATTATGTATTTTTTTGCGTATGGCTAATTAATGTCCTTTTGTTTTTGTATTGTTGTTCTGTCTAACCTCCTTCAAAAAAGGAAACAAAAAACGTATTCAAAATCCTAATACAACGAATATTCTGTACGACTAAATGACCTGTTACGTTTTTGCGATTTTTTTCTATTGTTTGCTGCTACGTCGTCGAAAATTGATTTCCTTCAAAAAGGTCGAATTTTAAATTTTATTTTGTTTTATGTTGCTTAAAGTTGCGTTTTAATTTCTTGTGAAAAATATTTGCTTAATATGTTCAATCCTTAACTAGCTTGTATTCAATTAGTTACTCTCTCGCTCTCTCAAATTTTGTCCACTTAATTTCACCGTATACACATACATGGTAAGTATATTCATATAATTATAAATTCTATTTCACTTTCATGCATTTCATTATTTACTAATCGCTCATTTGTTTGCCATTTCATCTTGAAATCTCTTTCATTCTTTTCGATTTGTTGTTTCATCTTTTTTTTTGTTCGATTTTTTTTTTAAATACACTTTAAATTAAATTTTTATAATTAATTAAAATAATTAAAAAGAAATTATAAGTTGATCACAGCAGTTCGGAAAATAAACCACCAAACCATGCTAGATAAATTGGCAAAAAATATGTAAATAGGGCACGTTTGAGAGACATTTGCGAGGTTGTGCCGACAGCGCTGCTGCCTGAACTCTTATCATTAATACTATTACTATCGATTTTATTATTATTGCTTTCGCTTTTGTCAACGGACTTATTAATTTCTTTATCACTTTTGTCGGTGGCGATGCCGGTGCCACTGCTACCACCATTACCGCTGATTGGATCAACAGGGTGTGTGGTTGATGGTCCTTCTTCTTTGACATTCGGTGTGTAATCAATTGGACCAATACCAGAGCCTTCCTCTTCGATATCACCATCGCCCGATCCCGAACCGCTACCATAGTATGGTTCCTCTGTAAATGCGAATGAACAATTTGAATTTAAAATGTGTGAAACTCAACAAAAAAAAAACATGCAATACATACCATTATCGGCCCATTCAACATCGTGGCCGTTGTATGCGTTCCGCAATTGGGTGATGGAATTTTTCAATGTAAATAATTGTGCTTCGAATGTTGCTGTGCGTCTGATGTTTATTTGTGATGGAAATTCTGGATTTGATGTCAGATCATTTGCAATCATATGTGGATATCTATAAAAACGTAAACAATTTTGAATTATTGTTTTTTTCAACTTATATTAATCGTTGTTAAAATCCAAACTGAACAGTCTCAATGTAATTACCTGTCAATTCCTTTTCCATTCCAACAGTTCATGTCGTTGCTTGGTGATGCGGCAATTTCATCATTGTTACAAATTTGATACGGTAAATTTGACCAGAATTTCTTTGAATCCTTGACTTTTGTTCGAATGTCTTTGACAAGTTTATCAAGCGGTGGTTCTTTGTTATCTTCTGTATCATCATCGTTGCGATCTTTTGAAGACACATTTCCGCCATTTCGATTGCCATTCTTATTCTTTCTGCGTCCTTTATTCGATGAGCTCGGCCCTTCCTCATCAGATTCGCCATCAAATTGAAGTGGCTCGAAGACCAAATCACGATTATTTGCCCGTTCGGTTGTGGGCGCAGCTTGACGCTTTTTACGATTCAAATTGTTTCCAGAAACATCGTTTGATGATTCATATGAAATCATATCCATGGCATTAAACAAAGGTGGTGCCGGTTCAGCATCTTCAAACGAGAATAGTTTATCTTCCCGACTGATGTCATCAAAGTATTTCTTTGGTTCAGCAACAATCAATTTTGGGCTAGGTCTGAATGCACGACGTTTACGTTGTTTAACGGGATTCAATTGAGGTTTACCACATCCGTTGAAGATTTGTGCTGATATGTCTTGGCCGGTTTCCTGTAATTAAAATCATTCCCATTCAAAATAAATTCAAACATATTGATTTTGTTCATAATAAGCAAAATGAGTATCAACTATTTACCTGGAAGTTCATGATAGCTTCGGAAATTTTTATATTGATTGGTTCAACAACCATAACAATGTTAAATGGTCCCAATAAACGTTCCGTTATTTTGTCCATTGATTGTACAAAATTATCCCATTCGGCGTCCAATTCAATGAAATGATTTAAACATCCGCGCATAACATTTACACAATAATTTGAGCATGGTTTTTCAACAAAGCCACGGCATGCACCGCATTGTTGCATTTTTGTTAGAGCACTTGTGCATTCCGACCCAGGTCGTACATTTGCCATATTTCTAGCTACTTCAGCTGCTGACGTTAAAGCCTGTTCAAATGTTCGTGTCGCCACAAACGATCGTTTTATTTGTCCTGTCAATTTCTCGGGAACGTCGCCGAATGGCTTCAGTTGTTTCATGTGTTCGCTCACACAACCCAAGTATCTAATTGAAGGCAATAAACAAAGCACGAAAGAAAGGAGCAAAAAAAAAAAAACAAATAGAAGAAAACAAAAATCCATTAAAATATCGTTCAACACAGAGCACAGCTCATAAATAATTCATATTTGTGGCACTATCTTGCACACTGACTATACTCACTTGTCATCGAATTTGTATTGTGAATTCAAAACGGTGAACATTTTTTGGTACAAAATGTTGAAAAATGTATCCAGCGCTTCGGTTAAATCAACTTTTCCACGAACATAATACTTTTCCAAGTCGTTGAATAACTCGGAGAACACGTACGAATTTTGTTCATAAATCACGCCATAAGTTCGCTTAAACATTTCGTGGAATTCCGATTTTGATTGAGATAGTAAATTTTTAAAGAATTCTGAAAACAAAAGAGAGGAACAGAGAGAGAGAGCGAAAAAAAGAATATTTCGATTAGTTGTTTGTTGATTTGAAAATCTATTTTGGTAATTTGATTGAATTCAAAACCTCAATGAATTAAATATTTGATGTGCAATCGTGTGAAATACGTACCATTGAAACGGCTGGCTCGTGCCGACAACACCGATGCTAATTTTCCAATCAATTCTTTGGTATTTCGTTCGAGCGTTGTACGTGAGCTGCTGGCCAATCGAAGTTCCATGTTTTTCGAACAACATGTTCCAGATGCGGGCGAATCACAATAAACTAAACGAGCATCTAAAATGAAAGGAATTGCAAAAAAATAAACATTAGCATCGCTTAAAAATAGACTTATTACAGAGAGAACTACGAAAATAAAATGCTATTTCGTGCGCAATGACATGAAAAAGGCGTATATATGTACAAATACAAAAAATCAATATATCCGGATAATAATAGATCCGACATGTATATAAATCCCGGTTTAATTATAAATCTTTGGCTCAATTCCATTGCAAGTGCAATATTCGAAAAGTGCTTCAAATTCAATACAAATGCTTCAAATTGGCAAGCAAAGACAATGAAAATTCAATTTCAATGCACGCAAATTGACTCAAGTTATTTCGGTGGCCGATGTACAACCACAATATTTGCCATCTCACAAGTCATTTTTCATCTTCATTCGAATTGCTATGCATGGGCATGCATTTTCGAATCAAAGAAGAGACATGTAGATATATATGCATGTGGTTTAAGTTTGCATCCAAACACGAATGTGAATGTGTAAACAGATAAAGCAAATAATCCAAATGTTTACATAGTCGGTTCGAATACATATATAAAAAACATCATGGGTTTTTCTTCTTCTTTCAAGCAAAATCATTTCAATCTCTTCTCAATGTACAAAATGCATCCATTTACAACAAACATTCATCTCTTGCACATTATCTGGATGAATTTTCGTGTTTGCATGTTGATTTTCGAGACGATACATTTTCAACATCGATGAAAATATTCAATATTTTTGAACAAAAAAAATTCGTTCATTTAAATAATGGATGTTTGTGCATCGGATTCCATTTAGTGCCCAATCACAGTCACTACAATGTTTATCCATTGCTGATGCAACTAAATAAACCGTCGTACGGTCAAAAAGTATTTTGACTGCATAATATATTACGTGTGATATCAGTAGAAGTCTATTGTTGAAAGATATGACATGTGATTGTTTGGATAAGCAGACATAAATCGATTCTTGTTCGTCATTCGTTTTATTCTCGTTGTTCAAACAAGCTCGTATGAATGTAGAAAACCATTTTATGTGATCACTGGCAGAGATAACACATGCATCTGAAGTGTAGAAAAATATTACACATTGAAAAGAATTATATCGAAATTGATATGAATCAGCTCGCATTGAAATAGCTCAATTAGTGTCCAAATAGGTAAGATTCATGCGATTTCGCCGAAACGAATAACCAGAGATAAAATTAAACTAGAATTAATTTTCGTTAGCACGAATTTTGATAGATTTTCAAATTACGTTGTCAAGTGTGGTCCCGTTTGTTTATTAGTTTTATTTGGCCTCCTGTTTTAAAAATAAATTCCATTGAAATCAGATGGTATGATTGAACTCAGTGATTAAAATGAAGCAGAGCAAGAGGGCGAGAGAGCGAGAAAGCGGCGCACATGTGAGTCAATGGATAATAAATTAACGTTGAAATTTCGTGAGTTCATCATTTGATGAGGAGGAAAAAGTGAAGTGAAACAAAAAAAAAAACGACGAGCTGTGAAAACATTTATAGATATACGTCCGCGTGTCTGGCATTTCTCTCAATGAATTTATACAATCTATGTACAGACGGCAGCAGGGGAAAGAAATAATGTAATTGTCAATCGAAATTGTTTGCTTAAAATCAGTGTTGGATGATTTTCTATTTAAAGCCAAGTAAATTTAATTCAACATTTGTCATGTACTATAGTATCTGTAATACATTTATTATGGTCTTTGTCGTTGTCGTCATCGTCTTTTAAAAGCAAGCAAATATTGCCTTATAAAAATGACATAAAGTATATCCGAAGTGTTTTGTTTTCCATCTCTCTCTCTCCCCATCTTTTCGTCTCTCGTTTTTCATGTTTCGAAGAGTGAATGCAGCAATCGAAGTGAATTTTATGTGATGTATTTTATGACTTTTATACATTTTTACAGCCAAACAGACACTTATAATCAATTTCCTCTGTAAAATGAAAAACTCTTCAGGTAGCCGATGTGCGCGCACAATCATGCAACGGGAATACCCGTGTATCGTTTGTTTTATTTTAATATTTAACTATATTTGCACTTCTGGCATCCCACACAGGTAATATTATATTTGACACGCTGTGACTATGCACATTGCACACAGATTCACGGGGTATTAAGTTTTGTATATTGACGTTCAATTCCAGCTTTGATTTATAATGATGTTTGTCGCGCATCTCGCACACAAACGGCATGGTAAAAGAGGTGAAAAAGGCTGAAATCCTGTAATAAAATATATTTTCTTTTTGTCATTCTTTCACTCTATGTGTATATTTATCAATAAGTAGGCAGGTGAACGTTGAACACATTGAATCCATATATATGAGTGTGTGTGGCTGTGACGTGCGTGGCAATAAATGTGTATGTTTTGAAATGAATTTATATTCTTTTATCAGTTTTATATTTTATCAAGAACACGTCGAACAACTTTGATATTTGTTGAAATTCCTGAATGCGTGGAAAAAAGGGGGACATTTGAATCATTCAAAAGCAGAAAAAGAGAATAAATATTATCGATTGTGAATCAAGCGCATTCACAACTATTTCAGACAACAGAGAAGGAAAAAAAATAACACGACGATTATTATTATAATCCACAATAAAATGGTTTGGTTTATCGTGGTGCATTTTGATTTGAAAAGTGAATCATCACATTCTTCACTATTTATTCAGTTCGCATTTTATATCATTGTACGCGTTCGTACATGTATTGAAAACGATAAAAATCAAACAATAGCGTTGGAATTAATTGGTGTGAAGCCTTAGATAAGATTAATTGAACAATTGACTCATGGAAATATGTCACAAAATCTCGTTTTCCAAATAAATCAAATTGATTAGAAATTCAATTGACGACTTGAATGGCACATTGCCTTTTAAGTGGGTTTATTGGCATTGCAGTAGCAATTTGATATGAGAAATATTCATCTTGACTCTTGCGAAATGCTATTAATTAAATCTCGTTTAAAATCACTTAAGAAACGAAAAAAAAAATCATAAATAAAACATATTCTTAAGCCGAAATGACGTTTCAACACTGACGTAATTCGTTTGGAAATGCTGGTTATATTTTGTTATGTCTGTCTTGTGCTTGAAGTGATTCGATATTCAGAGGTCACATCGATAATACTCTGTAAATTTTGTCGATTGTAATTACGTTCAAGCATTAGCTTATCGCTTCATCCATAATACACCAATTTATTCATATTAAAGTGCTTGATGCGCTCTTTAAAATACGGCCATATTTTTCCCATCCCAGAATTCTTTCAATGCTTGAATATTTGTTGCGATAAACTATATATTATGTGGCTCTAGCAAACATATCAAACAAAAGGTAAGATAAAAGGAGGAGAAATTGATGTGAACATAGAAGAAGAAAACAAAAATCTGAAAATTCCACAATGCAATACAACATCGTCTGGAGCACATTTTCATTAAGAGAATGGTGTTTGAGTTCTTGAATGACGGATTGAAACAAATAAAAGACATACAGAATGAGAAGCAGAGGAAAAAAACGATACATTTAGAATTGTGTTTATACAATCTCCAAGTTATGTTTTTTTTTTCATTCCCAACCTTTCCTCACAACTTTTTCTTCCTTTCTCTCTCTTTCTATCTCCTTTGATTCAATGTGCCAACAAGAGTTGTCTATTATCCTTTTTGGATTATGTTTTCTGAATGCTGTCTTAGTTGCTTTTATCACGATTCAGATGATACAAATATATATATAAAAAAAAACATACAAAATATGGTATATAGTATGTAGCAAACAATGCGTTAACAACCCATAGCAGCATTTATGACAATGCAACATTGACATCGACACTACGAGGAACCGGCAATTCAATTCAACATCCCACACAAACATTTCGATAGATAAAGTCAGTCAGTGTAAATGCAATCGAAGAGAGTGCCAGTCAGAGAGAGAGAGAGAGAGTGAACATAAGAATTGATCCAGCCTCAAATACATTGTAATTTTTAGTAATTGCATACAAATCTGGGATAGACCAAATCGGAGGAATAAAAAAAAACAATAATATGTACCAAACTATGTATTAGCAACGATTCGACAGCCAACGGGATAAAGAAGAAAGACAAGCGCACCAAATGATGGCCAACGAAAAAAAAAAGAAAAGAAGAGGATAGAAACCAAACGATATATTATACATATATTGTGAAGAGTTTGCAGACACTTGGCGCCTTTGGTTCGTTGCGAATAAAAAAACAAAACACAAATACACATATATTTTAACACAAAAGCTTTTAACTGCATATCTCTTGGGTCTTGGCATTATGTGCCGTTCATTACGTTTTATTATAAATGCGGTCCTTTTGGATATATTCAAGCATGCGATGAATGATGATGATGCCGAGTGTAAATTACACGAAACGAAACACACAAAGGGAAAATGAACACGACAAGCAGAAGGTGAGTGACAGAGAGAGCAAAAAAGCATGCAGATCATTCTCCGTTTTGACTGGGTCATTAACTCATGTAGGTCTAAATAGGATAACAATAACAAAAAAGTGCAAACAAACTGTACAAAGAGTTTATTACTTTGAATGAATGCTGACGCGTCGAAAAAAAAAATAACACACTAGGCTCAAGTGTCCGAAAAACCGAATATTTCGGTGCTTTTTTGTTATTGTTCTCAGTTAAATTTCATTCTTTGGAATGCGGGTAATTTTTATTTTATTTTTGGCACTGTGAAAATGATGTTGACCATTGTGTTGATTTCTCTCAATATATCGGTTGATATCTTTAAAGAAGCAACAAAACTATCAATCTGCCGTCAAGTGTTAAAAATGAATAACACATTCGATGTGTTTGGGAACTTTGCTCGTTATCTCATTCTGTCTCTGTTTTTCATGTGCATGTACCGTATGCAAGGTGTGCATTCGCTCAGAGGCATTTTTATATCTCCTACCTACATGATAGGTTCATGTTTAGCATTTTGAAATTGTTGTTGTTCATTTCTTTTGATCTTTTCTCCAC